ATGTATGTATGTATGTATGTATGTATGTATGTATGTATGTATGTATGTATGTATGTATGTATGTATGTATGTATGTATGTATGGATGGATGGATGGATGGATGGATGGATGGATGGATGGATGGATGGATGACACAACACGCGCTTCGCTGCAGACGCCACACCTATCCACCTATCGATCTCTTGCTCTATTTTCCCCTTATTCATGAACAACACCCCAAGATACTTAAACTCCTCCACTTGGGGCAGGATCTCCTCCCCGACCTGGAGAAGGCACTCTATTCTTTTCCGACTCAAGATCATGGCCTCAAATTTGGAGGAACTGATCCTCATCCCGGTCGCTTCACACTCGGCTGCAAACTGCTCCAGCGAAAGCTGTAACTCACAACCTGATGAAGCCAATATGACCACATCATCTGCAAAAAGCAGAGGTGTGATCCTAAGGCCACCAAAACGGATCCCCTCAATTCCTTGGCTGCACCTAGAAATTCTGTCCTTAAAAGTTGTGAACAGAATCAATGGCAAAGGGCAACCTTGGCGGAGTCCAACTCTCACCGGGAATGAGCCCAACTTACTGCTGGCAATGCAAACCAAGCTCTGACACCGGTCATATAGGGACCTAACAGCCCGTTTCAAAGGATTTGGTACCCCATACTCCCAGAGTACCCCCCACAGGGTTCTCTGATGAACATGGTCGAATGCCTTCTCCAAGTCCACAAAGCACATGTAGACTGGATGGGCAAATTCCCACACACCCTCCAGGACCTTGATGAGGGTGTAGAGCTGGTCCAGTGTTCCACGACCAGGACGAAAACCGTACTGCTCCTCCTGAATCCGAGGTTCGACTATCCGATGGACCCTCCTTTCTAGAACCCCTGAATAGACCTTACCAGGGAGGCTTAAGAGTGTGATCCCTCTGTAGTTGCACTACACTCTACAGTCCCTCTTTTTGAATAGGGGGGCCACCACCCCAGTCTGCCAATTCAGGGGAACTGCCCCCGATGTCCACACAATATTGCAGAGTCATGTAACCCAACACAACCTGACAACATTCAGAGCCTTAAGGAACTCTGGGCGAATCTCATCCACCCCGAGTTGAGGTTAGCAGCACACCACCTCCACTATAAACAGTGTTGGTGGCATATAGCTTCCCCCCAGAGACACCGGATGGTGGACCAGAATTGCCTAGAATCTGTACAGAAGTCATTCTCCATGGCCTCTCTGAACTCCTCCCATGGCTGAGTTTTTGCCTCAATGACCACCCGAGCCACATGCCGCTTGGACTGCCGGTACCCATCAGCTGCTTCCAGGGTCTCACAGGCCAAAAAGGCCCAATAGGACTCCTTCTTCAACCTGATAGCATCCCTCACCGCCGGTGTCCACCACCAGGTTTGAGGGTTGCCACTGCGACAAGCACCGATAACCTTGCAGCCACAACTCCAATAAGCCGCCTCGACAATGGAGGTGCGGAACATGGCCCACTCAGGCTCAATGTCCCCTACCTCCCCTGGAATGTGTTAGAAGTTCTCCCAGAGGTGTGAGTTAAAGCTCTGTCCCACAGGAGATTGCCAGACATTCCCAGTAGACCCTCACAATACGTTTGGGCCTGCCAGGTCTGACCGGCATCTTCCCCCACCATCATCGCCAACTCATCACCGTGGTCAGTGGACAGCTCCGCCCCTCTCTTCACCCGAGTGTCCAAGACACAGATGAGACAACAACAAAGTTGATTATCGGCCTAGGGTGTCCTGGTGCCAAGAGCACATATGGACACTCTTATGCTTGAACATGGTGTTTGTTATACACAGAAGTCCAATAACAGAACACCACTTGGGTTCAGATCAGGGGGGCTGTTCCTCCCAACCACACCCCTCCAGGTCTTACTGTCATTGCCCATGTGAGCATTGAAGTCCCCCAGCAAAACAAGGGAGTCCCCAAGAGGGGCACTCTCCAATACCCCCTCCAAGGACTCCAAAAAGGGTGGGTAATCTGAACTGCTGTTTTGTGCATAAGCACAAACAACAGTCTGAACCCGTCCACCCACACGTAGGCAGAGAGAGGCTACCCTCTCGTTCACCGGGGTGAACCCCAACGTACAGGCACCAAGATGGCGGGCATCAAGCATGCCCACTCCTGCTCTGCACCTCTCACCAGGGGCAGCTCCAGAGTGGAAGAGTGTCCAATCCCTCTCATGGAAACTGGTTCCAGATCCAGAGCCGTGCATCGAGGTGAATCCGACTATTTCTAGCCAGAACCTCTCAATCTCACACACCAGCTCAGGTCCTTCCCCACCAGAGAGGTGACATTCCACATCCTGAGTGCCAGCTTCTGTAGCCAAGAATTAGACCACCAAGGTCCCCGCCTTCAGCCACCACCCATCCCGCATTGCACCCGACCCCTTGGGCCCTTCCTACAGGTGGTGAGCCCATGGGAAGGGGGACCTACGTCTCCTCTTTGGTCTGTGCTTGGCCAGGCTCAATGAATGAAAGCCCGGTCACCAGACGCTCGCCAGCGTGCCCCACCTCCAGGCCCAGCTCCAGAGTGGGGCCCCGGTGACCCACATCCGGGCGAGGGAACATTGGTTCTATTTATTTTTCTCTTCATAAGGGGTCTTAATTTAAAATAATTTATTTTAAATAAAAATTCCATGCCAATTTTGCAGCTCATTCATCAATCAGCCAATTCTGTGTCATGTCCAATCTTACTTTGCAAAACCGCAATAGAGTGAGTCCACGAAAATGAATCACGAAGTAGTAAGGGACTACTGTACACACCAAAATCCAGATGTATACATTTGTTGAATGAATATGAGCACATTTCCTTTGTATGTCCGGATCAACGTAGATCTGAGCAAACACGGTACTCCTCCTCTGACACCTCTCTAATGGAATATACACACTGTTGTAACTATTCCCTTCATGTGTGATTGTCCTCACTGTACAATCATAAATCATACCTAAATGCAGAAAGAGGGATTTTTTTGAACGTAAGGTGGAGATGATCTTGAAACCATCTTGTGCACATTAATACGTGATGGTAAGATGGTCACGGACAGCTCTCTGATTGGTGGAGAAGAAACGAGACAGACGTCATTCATGCGAAAAAGTCTAAATGATCTGCTGGTGCTTTTACACAGCTTTCTGTCAAAGTGACTTCATCTTGACTCGACAATGAATGTCACGTCATCTCCACCCCATCGCAGAGCAAAGAGGGGAATTTAAAATTCATTCAACCTTTGTTTATACAGGTTAATCCCATTGAGCCTTGGGGACTAATCTGTATAAATAAATGTATAAATAAAATACCCTCCATGCATAGTGTGAATTCAGAAAAATAATTGAGGTGCTGACTTCCGTAGTGTAAGTGAGTGTAAGTAAGCTGATAGCTAAAAGTAGCAAAACATGAAATGAAAAAAGTAGGAAAATCTTGGGTGAAAGTTAAAGTAGCAAAACGCTTGCTAAATACTTAAAAGTAGCAGAAAGTTGTTTCAAAGTTAAAAGGTGGCAAAGTCCAGCTCAAAGCTGAAGGCAGTTAAATTATAGCCCAAAACTAAAAGTAGCAAAAAGCTATCTCAAAACTTGAAGCAGTAAATATTAGCTTAGGTTGAAATTAAATGAAAGTGTTGAATGACCGTTTTTTTTTAATAAGTTGTATCAGCAAAATTGAGAAAGCTCCTCGGATGAGGAGCGAAACGTCTTCTGTTATAAATAAAGTCCAGTTGTTTTTTTGTATTGAACGCTTTTTTGAATTGTATCAGCAGTATACCAGTGGGGACTAAAGCTGAAAAGAGCAAAAATAACAACTTTGTTACATCTAAAAAAGTTAAGTCTGGTCCTCTGGACGGGTTCAAAAAACAAAAAAATTCTAGAAACAAGGTGAAATGTTTCTACTTTTTTTTGTTTTGTTTTTTGAACCCGTCCAGAGGACCAGACTTAACTTTTTTAGACTTTTCTATCTGGATTATTGAGCATGCATCAGGATATTTTGAAACTAAGTTAAATGTTTTAAACAATTTAACTATCTTAATAAGTTTTAAATGTTTTACAGTTCAGCAGAAGCTCATACCAGGACAACTAAACCTAAAATATTATTTGAATAAATCAGTTTTAGCTCAAAACTGTTAAGAAACTTTGCTGCTGCAGAAAGTTAAACTGACTTTAAGCCCTTCGATACCTAAATTCTCATATTACTTTCAATATTTGAAGAGTTTTCTGTTTGCTCAAGTACTAGCAAACGTTTGAATCTAGTGAGATTTGTCTTTAAATAAAGATTTAATGTATTTTAATGATTATGAAAAGCTTATTGCAACTGATTTTTTAATCATATCAGAATAAGCTTTATTATCATTGTACTGAGATACAGCGAGAATAGGTTATGTACATATGTTTATTTTAAAGTTATCTAGTCAGAAGGATTTATTTTCCAACAGATGTAGCTCCTCATGAATTAGATTAATTAAAAGCCTTTAGGTAAACGTGTTTCTCTTCTAAAAGGTAGGAACTATTCTACCAGTTTTAATTTATATTTAATCCTTATGAGTGGCATTCACACATTTGACAAGTTGTACTTAATACTAAATTATAAAATATATTATCTATTTATTATTAGATTGCAATAAGCTGGAAACAGTTTAAGTTTGGTACATATAGGGGCACAAAAGGTCAGAACATTGAAACAGGGTCATGAGTTTGTTTTTGTCTGTAGGGCCTCAGAACGGCTGGAACGACCCCCCAGCTCTGACACGAGCACCAAAGAAGAAGGTAAGTCTGCAAACTCTCTTTTATACATTTTAATGATGCTTTTGTGTAGAAAGCAGCGACTATGTGAAATGAAATTAAATAATGTAAGAATAGAATGTTTAAATGTTGCAAAATATATCTATGATCTCATTTATGTTACTTGTATATCTTAAAGGGATCTCTGACTGCCCACACATATTAAATATTAAATATTGGATCATTATCCTCAATAAATAAATGGCCAAGCATAATATTTTTGATCATTAGTTTTACTGGGTTCTCTTTATCTACTTTTAGAACTTACTTGAAAATCTGATGATGTTTTAGGTCATATTTATGCAGAAATATAGAAAATTATAAAAAGTTCACAAACTTTCAAGCACCACTATTTTGTCGGAAGCTAACAGCTTATTTATATACAAACCGGATTCCAAAAAAGTTGGGACACTAAACAAATTGTGAATAAAAACTGAATGCAATGATGTGGAGGTGCCAACATCTAATATTTTATTCAGAATAGAACACAAATCACAGATCAAAAGTTTAAACTGAGAGAATGTATCATTTTAAGGGAAAAATCTGTTGTTTCCAAATTTCATGGCATCAACAAATCCCAAAAAAGTTGGGACAAGTCCATTTTTACCACTGTGTGGCATCCCCCCTTCTTCTTACAACACTCAACAGACGTCTGGAGACAGAGGAGACCAGTTTCTCAAGTTTAGAAATAGGAATGCTCTCCCATTCATGTCTAATACAGGCCTCTAACTGTTCAATCGTCTTGGGCCTTCTTTGTCGCACCTTCCTCTTTATGATGCGCCAAATGTTCTCTATAGGTGAAAGATCTGGACTGCAGGCTGGCCATTTCAGTACCCGGATCCTTCTCCTACGTAGTCATGATCAGAGTCAGTCAGAGTCAGAGTTTCTTTATTGTCATTCGCACCTCATGTGGTACATGTGGTGGAGCGAAATTATGTCCACAGGGTCCCAGTTACATCCAACAATAAAATGTATAAGAAAAACAGTAATAACATCTAAGATATGAACTAAGAAAAACATCAACTAAATATACACTTAAGCACTCATAAAATAAAACATTGAACGTCAGCACAAACATGAACATGAGTGTGTGAGCAGATGTGCATGCATAAGGTTAGAGAGGTGGGCTTGTGATCCGAAGATTGCCGGTTCACGCCCCGGCCCCGACAACATCAAAATTGTGGGTGGGGTAGGTGAAACACCCACACTTGCCCCCACCCTCATTCGCCCCACCCTGGGCCCATGAGCAAGGCCCTTAACCCCCACCATGTGCTCCCTAAACAGGTCTCTCTTGAAAATGAGTTCTCGTGGCTCAATGAGACTAACCTGTATAAATAAAGGCTAAATGAAAAAAATGAAAATAAACACATCAACATTGAAACAGATCAGCAGCAACATGATGTGATTATTCTAGTTAGGGATTCGTGAGTCTAACAGCCTCAGGGTAGAAGCTGTTCCTCAGTCTAGTTGTTCTACACTTAATGCTTCTCAACCTCCTTCCTGAGGGAAGTGGGGCAAAAAGTGTGTGTGCTGGGTGAGTGAGGTCCTTCATGATGCAGGTGGCCCTCTTCCTGCATCTGGAGGTGTAGATGTCTGTGATGGTGGGGAGGCTGACTCCGACAGACTTCTGTGCAGCCTTCACCACTCTCTGCAAAGCTTTTCTTTCTGCAGCTGTGCAGCCTCCATGCCACACGTTGATACTGGAGCACAGGATGCTCTCCACTGCACACCTGTAGAAGGAGGTGAGGACTGAGCTTCCCAGACCAGCTCATCTCAGCTGCCTGAGGAAGTAGAGTCTCTGATGAGCTTTCTTGATCAGGCTGGTGGTGTTGTTGCTCCAGCTGAGGTTGTCATCCATGTGTACACCCAAGTACTTGTAGCTGGAGACCACTTCCACCGCAGATCCTCTTATGTTCAAGGGGGTGTAGATGTTTTTGTTCCTTCTGAAGTCCACAATCATCTCCTTTGTCTTCTTCACGTTGATGTGAAGGTTATTCTCTTTGCACCAGCTCTCCAGGTGTTCCACCTCTTGCCTGTAGCTGGACTCATCATTGTTTGTGATGCATCCCACCACCGCTGTATCATCTGCAAACTTTACAATGTGGCAGCCTGGATGGGTAGCTGCACAATCATACGTGAGCAGAGTAAACAGGAGGGAGCTCAACACACATCCCTGAGGAGAGCCAGTGCTGAGGGTTATGGTGGAGGAGGAGAAGTTGTGGATTCTCACTAACTGTGGTCTGTTTGTTAAGAAGTCTAGTACCCAGTTGCAAATCGAGGGGCTTAGTCCTAGTGTGGATAGTTTGTCCATCAGAGTTTGGGGGATCATGGTGTTGAAGGCGGATGTGAAGTCCACAAAGAGCATACGGACGTAAGAGTTTTTCTGCTCCATGATGTTGTGATTGCTGCAGAATGTGGTCTGGCATTATCGTGTTGAAAAATGCAGGGTCTTCCCTGAAAGAGATGACGTCTAGATGGGAGCATATGTTGTTCTAGAACCTGAACATAGTTCTCTGCATTAATGGTGCCTTTCCAGACATGCAAGCTGCCCATGCCACAAGCGCTCATACAACCCCATACCATCAGTGATGCAGGCTTCTGAACGGAGCATTGATAACAACTTGGGCTATCCTTGTCCTCTCTGGTCCTTTAAAATGATACATTTACTCAGATTAAACTTTTGATCTGTCATCTATGTTATATTATGAATAACATATTGACATTTGCCACCTCCACATCATTGCATTCAGTTTTTATTCACAATCTGTTTAGTGTCCCAACTTTTTTGG